ACACACACACACACACACACACACAGAGGCACCCTTTGAGTGGCTCCATTCGGGGTCTTTCATCTCTTAAATGGGCCTGTTTGCTACTCTGTTATGGACGCAAACAATAACCCACCCCCAACTCCAGCGTCACCATACAGCCACACACAAACACACGCATGCCGATACGTTTACACACCAACTTAGATACACACAGACAGACTCGCACATTCACACACACTCAACGCAGGTAGGCATTGACATACATCCAAGCACACAGCCACATGTTTACATGCACCAATTCAGGCATGATGATGCACTCGCGGGTGCTCATTCATTGAGTGAGTATAAAAACTAAAACTAATACTAAAGCTAGCAAGTCAACTCAAACAAAGCATTTTCGAAAAAAATTAAAAACTCCCAGACCTGCTCTAAAAACTAAGCGCAACTATCTGGATTTACAAAAATCAAAAGGAAATAAAAACGAACGAGAATAAAAATCCCAAACTATTAATCCTGACTCACGGTCAGTCGGTCAGTCAGTTGAACTTTGCTCGTGTGGTTAATTAAGCTGACATGGGAGCTTTCGTTTGTTGCTAAAATGACAGCAGTCGGCGGCGCTGATGGTGCCGGGCAGACGCGCGAGAGCGGATTGGGCAGCGCCGATGAATGGTGTCAATGCGCCCCCCCGCCCCTCCCGCTTGTGGACCCGCTCCCGCCCCGTCTGTAAAGACCTCCGTTAGGAGCGCTTCCCCTCTCCTATTGATGACTATCAGGTCATCAAAGGCTCCCCTGGGCTTTGATGGGGCCGGCGCGACTCGGCGCGATGGACGAACTGGCTCGGCAGCCCCCCACCAACAGACCCCCTGCGTCCCCCCAGTCACTTGTCAGGTCTCTACACTGAACATGGACTTTAGGCAACATCATTTGTGGGGATTTGATGTCATTATGTAGTAATTGCACTCATTAAGTGTGTTGTTAGGCTGTTTCTCAGGCGCAGCAAAAATGTTCCTGGGTCCATTTGACCTGGGCGTGTGTTATTACTCATTTTTCACAAAGTGTCATGAATGACGCAGTTTTGAGTATCAAATGCAGATTTGACTCTCAAAATGTTCCTAAAAAAGACATTTCATGTGAATATTGTCGAATTATCAACGTACATAATGGACGAAACCTCATGGGAATATTAGTGGCCAATGTTTGCTATCACAATGTAACAAAAGCTCTCAAGCTGGTTCAACATTTACTCCACAATGGAGAAAAGAAAATCTATTTTTGAATTAGAAAGACCGAGGAAGCGTGAACCTATTTTATAATCTTCACTGACATTGACTATTCCTACGTAAAACTAAGTAGACCCCTCAAACTTAAAAAAAAAAAAAAAAAAGCGAAATGTTGCCATTAATTGATCACGCTGACCGTTATTATGATGATGAGGGTGTAATGCTAAAATGAAGTTGATAGCGTGCCGCGTACTCGGCGCCGTGTGAAGTCAAAGTCACTCCCATTCCCACATTTAGCCTGCGGACGGGACAGACAGACAGACGGACAGACAGAAAGACCGAGTGACAGACGCAGAGTCTCCGCCAAGCGTCTACGTGTGGCTCGCGCCGCGTTGCCACTTTGGGGGCGTGAAATGACAAGACGACGGCTGGACGACGTGGCAGCACGCCGTCTCGTCTGCGATGATGTAGTATCGTGGAGGGTTTTGGGGTTTGTTTGTTTTTTTGGTCATGTGACAAGTATCAATTCTGTAGGTAATACTAAAAAAATAAAATAAAATACAAAAAAAGCTGAAAAGTGACATCCTGAAGGGAGGACGAGTGGGGCTTGATGCCGCTTTGATGTGGAGCTGCAATTTTCAGGTTAATGAGGCCGTTAGCACCAGGGCTTGCAAACCACTAACACTTAACACACACGCACGCACTCACACACACACACACACACACACACACCCACACACCCACACACCCACGCACCCACGCACCCACGCACCCACGCACACGCAGGCCAGATCTTTCCCCAAAACTTGCAACTTCTGGAGTACGAGAGCCACAATTTCATCATTATTGTGATAATCAATTCATCTGTCGATTTTTTTCAATAAATTGGATTTTAAAAAATTATAATAATAAATACATTTTATTTTTTTCAATTTGCCAGAGCAGAAAATGCACAAAAAAATGATGATAGTTCAGTAACCAATTTGGGCTTTGACATCCAAAAGTTTTGCTCATTGTTTTCCAAAGACCAAAAACCAGATGTTTGCAAATTTTTTTTTTTAATCATTCTGCTTTCATGAGGATTGACATTAAATGAGACAATACGGACTTTTGAGAGGATGAAATTAGGAGGATTTGAAGATCTACATCGAGCGAGGTCTCCAAACGATCCGTTGATGATCAAAATAGTCAGTGAGTAATATGTTAATGAATTCCGTTGTCGCCGTACTCTCAATTGAACCAGAAACCTTTTAGCTCCCATAACTCTGAGTGCATTTCTTTACCCCGGAACAAGCACATTATAAGGAGCAAAACGTGAAGAACCCCCCCGCACCGCCCATGAAAAACGAAATGACAAAATCATCACCTTCATCTAGATGACTTCTTCGCCAGGCCCTCCAACCACTTTCTTGACTTTTGTGATTTTTTGGCGTCCGTGTTATCGACTTGGGCTGAAGACGGTCCAGTCCGGCAGGTGGCGGTGCTTCTTCAGGCGTTCCTCTCTGAAGGCGGGATGTATTCCAGTGAGAGATGAGCAAAGATCTCCTCCTCCGTCGCGGCTTTCAGGTATTTACGCTGCGATGAAAAAGAAAAAAAAAAGTTATTTCAGAAGGATGGTGCAGAAAATGCACACATCACTTCGTTCTTGGTTTGGTCCGGAACATCTGAGAAAATAGGCCAACATTTTCATCATTTTTGTCTAAATTAACCCTTTGAGGGACAGCGGTTAAGACAGTCGACAGGTTATCATGTTATCGGGTTAAAGGGTACATGAACGGGTTAAAAGCAGATGTTTGTAAATGAAATAAAACAAACCCCAGAGTGGAAAACTGCCAAAACTTGATTTAATTGATGTCATTTGTTTTTTCTCTCAAGCTATAAAATGGATTCAAGACAAAAATCTGAATATGCACCGTTTTATTTCACGGCGATATGTTGCAGGTGTAGTACTTCGGCGTACCTGTTTGTTGTCGTACAAGGCGTGGCTGCTGAGTGACATGTTCTTCTGCTGAGTGGCCCAGCGTCGCAGCTCGCGCTCAAACAACTGCGTCGCAACCAAAAAACACGCGTCAGCCCCACCACTTGACCATCAGGGGGCCACCGGCAGCATTACCTTGGAACCCGTCCAGCCCAGCAGGGCAAACGCAAACTGGCTGAACGGACAGACCACCAAATCGACCCGCACAGCTCGCCACCGCCTGCACTCGCCACGCCGGAGCGCCACGTCGTCTTGGCGCGAGTGCGGCTCGCCTCCCTCCGGCATAGGAAGTTTGAAGATGGAGAAACATCTCTCAAAATGATCCATGGTGGAGGCGGGAGTCCCGCTGGCCTCCGTGTATGAGTTTCTGTTGTTCTTGTGGTACAACAGGAAGTCCTGATGGATAACAAGGTCATTCCCGACGAACTCTATTGAAAACGTGAACATTACACACTGTTCAGAACAGCGTCAGTACCGTATTTTCCGCACTAAAAGGTGAACCTAAAAGCCTTCCATTTTCTTGAAAGCTCCCAGCGCGCCTTAAAATCCGATGCGCATTGTGTTTGGTCATTACGGTAATAATTTATTTAACTCATTCACTCCCAAAGACGTTTTTAAACGTCTTTTCAGACTTGGTCTAGAATTGGCTGGTACTGAATGAGCAGTTGAACACGGAAATAGAGCAGCGGCAAGAGAGTTCAACGTTAACGAGTCGATGTTATAACTTGCTGCTGGTTTAGTGAACTGTGTCGCTTCTTCATTAAATAAGTTTTACTGACATCTGATCGTCGCTATATAAATCAGGGTGTTGTGTCGTGTTCTGGTGGCATTTCCTTGAGCGTAGCTCCATCTAGTGGATGCATTGTAGATTGCATCTTATAATGCGGTGCGTCCAATTTCTGAAAAAAATTACAAAATAGGTCATTCATTGAAGGTGCGCCTCATAATCCAGTGCGCCTTTTAGTGCGGAAGTGTTAGTTTCGGGGTAATGACATATCAAGATCACATGGCCCATAAAGCAAGTCGTAGTTGGAGATACGAGTCGACGGTGACAATGTAGTGACAACGCAACATGTTTGCTTCGACTCACTCGAGCCTCCAGGTGCGCCACCACTTTTGGAATCAGACCCTCCTCCCGCCCTTCTTCCGGGTGCGTGATCAGAAAGTCGACATCGTGGCCGCTCAGTTTCCCCCTGCAAGAAGCGTCGAGCGGGGATACGCTCACAACCAACTGCGATAGACCAAACCGCACGTGGTGGATTTTACCTCCTGAAGCCTCCCACCAAGGTGACCCGGGCGCTCGGCAGCTTTGCGCCAACGGCTTCCTCCACAATTTGGCCGATGGTGTCGGCTTCCGCCCTGGTAACGGACTGTGTCAGGTCATCGTAGTGGGCCACGCCTGCAAAGACAGATCGACACGTTCAGTAGAGGTCGCTAGGAGTGATGACATATCCGACCGAGTTTGCAGCCAAAGCTCACCCGCCTGCTGCGCCCGAGTGAGGACGCGTCCTGATTGATGTAACTGAGGGAGGTTGCGGATGCCTTCTTGGAACCACTGGGCCGCCGTCTTTGCTCCCACGCCAAAGATTGCTGTCAGGAGCTGGAACAAAAAGCACAGGAGATGTGCCGAGGATTTATTGACAAAAGTTGTACAAAAGGGCTGGGAAAGTGTCCATGCTCAATTGTCACATTTGGTTTTGAAAATGGGCAGCTCACTAAATCAAATAAATTTGTTTTTTTTTTTTCCATATGGACAGTGGACCCCCACTAATCATCACGGATTGAGGAAGCTGGCCAACCATGTGAAAAGCGAAATTTAGAATTGCAATTTATTTTTCTTTTTTTTTTCACATATCTATACTATTGGTCACTCCACGTCTGTTATGTTTCCACATCATTAAATGTTGAAAATGACTTGCTCACTTTGACAATGCCATGTTAGATATATTTATTTTTCCGACCCCCCCAAAATTCTTCAATATTGTAAGTGGGGATAAAAGGTCGGCTTCCCCGCAAAGCATTAATTACTTAATGAGCAAAATGAATACAAAAGAATTAGTAAATACATGTTAATGAAACAATTTTAGGAAACACAGGCTAAAGGGTGGATGAAACAAGAGAGCGGCCCATTTTTTGGCATACTTTTCCGGGTTTAGAATTAGCAGCTTTGAGCCCGTTAGGACCTTCATGGCCTTGAAACGCTCGGACCGCCTAGTGGCCTCCACCTCCCGGGATGATCCGTTTTCCAAAATGTCCTGCCAAGACAAAAGTCAGCACTGGTCAACGGAAAAACACTTGGTCAGTATGAGACAAAATTCGAGCGCGGGAGCCTTTCACCCACCTGGATGACCGACAGCGAGTGTTGGCCAAGGCATGGACATCCTCTGAGCTGCCGGGCGTCCGTCAGTGGCTCGGGGAAAGCCTTCAGCGTGGCGGCAGCGCGGCGGAACGCCACCGCGCGACCCTCGTCCTGGCTGAGCTCAGCGTTTTCAGCCAACAGCGACAGAGCCTCCTGAACAAGTAAATACATATTTACAACAAACTTCCTGCCTGCATGTTTGACTAGTGCCCAGTAAAAGAGGACATTGTTACATCTCCACTCTATGAACCATATTCATAATTAGTCACATGATGAGCATTTTTTTCTTGTCAAATATACAAACATAATACAAATCTAACAATAAAAATGTCAGCAAGAAAAATTTTTAGCTAACATTTTTAATAACCCCCCTACCCAAAAACAAAAAGGATTTACTAACCCTGACTGCAGTGAATAATAACAAAAATAAAAATGTGGAAATTTCAATTCAAAAATAAAATGAAAAATATCAAAAACAAAATAAAACTTTAAAAAAAAGAAATATTTTAATTAAATAAACAAAATAAAGAAAATAAATAACAAAAACTAGCAAAAAACAAATAACTTTTTAAACATATCGATGCATCCACTTTACCGCAATCGGGTCATGGGTATAAATATACAGATAAATAATAAATAAATACCACACTCAAAATTCAGTTCCAGAAAAATAAAATACATTTAAAGGATTCCAAAATGTTCAAAATAAAAAGAAACTGACTATAACACCCACTGTGAAGACGGCATTGCGGTGGTCCAGGGTGGTCCTCCTTTGACAAGCGTAGATGGGCATTGAGAAAGTCGCCGTCTCATCTCCGCTTGATGCCGGCCGCTCCTGCAGAACGAAGACAAATGTTAAAGAACTGCACAAAGCTGCTAAGCTCCAAATTTGCTTTCAACATTGTGATGCAGCAAGCAATGACAGAAATATCCGTTTTCCAAGGAACACTCGTGTTTTTGTACCATCAGTCGATGTTGCTGCAGGATGTCGAGGGGACATCCGGCACTCAGGCTCTCCGTTAACCACCTGATGTCCACCAGGTGAGCAGCTGTCGGGTCATGACCCTGTGAACTCAGCCAACTTTTGACCTCGTCACCCGAGTTCTTCTCTGAGATGACGTGTGTGACATTTTCACTGGTGAGACATGAACACAACGCCTGCCTTCAATTTCCAATGATTTACCCCATAATAAAATGATCTTCTGTAATCTATGTAATGTAACGTTATGTTGGTACTGAGAGACTAACGATTTTCTTAAGTGACAACTGACAATTTTGAAGTTTGTTATAACACTCTTGAGATTTTCTTTCAAATTATAAGTGCTTTGTAAATTAAAGTTTCACTGTAAATGACAACATACGTGAAGGACTCGTCGACCCTGAAGCCCTTTTTTCGTCCGAGCTCGGTGAGGAAATGTCTCCGGCTGGTTCCCATCTTCCTCTCCAAGAGGAAGAGGACCACCTGCGGGAACTTGGACGCGTCATCCCGGCTGTCGCTTGTCGAAGCACCGCCAGTCGAGGAGGACACTTTTCTTCGCTTTAGCGGCACCATATTTCACTCTGAGGGCCCCTCAATGTAATATAACAATAAATAATATCTAAATAATACGTTATTAGCATTTTGGTGACTATGTTAGATGGACCGAATTATTTCCGCATTATCTTCTTTGAATAGTGTTCGCAAACTTTCAGGAGTCACCGCCACCCGCTGGATGTTATCGGTACTACATGACACATTCCATCATAGCCTCAACAAACGTAGTACTGTAGTGATGGGAAGTAACGAATTATTAATACTTCATAATTGTGCTGAAGTGTATATAGATTTCCTGGTGTTTATATTGTATTTTTCGGACGATTTTTACTTTGACTGCCTGTATCTGAAAACAGATTTCTATGCTTTTGTCACAGTGGACTTTTTTCAACATCTGCGACCCCGCACCTGGATCCCCAAAAATCACGAATTCATAGATTACAAAAATTCATTTTGGTCTTCAAAATGATCAAAACGGCCACAGCATATAATAGTGTAATAGACAGTTATAAATTATTTTACTAGAGTACAGCAGTCTCACCAGTCTTTTTTTTTACACAAGTATCGGTACTATTAAGTATCTGTTCTGTCTGTACAGTATATGAGTATGTTGAAGCCTCTCATAAATACTGTATAGATTACATATAGATGCTTTATTAGCGTACTGTCAATATGATGTAGGTCAGGGGTGTCACACATTTTTGTCGCTGGCCATTGTTTCTCTCGGAGGACCGTTATGATTTTGAACCCACATGAATTTATGATCACCTAATGTTCTTAGTTTTAAACAACAAATTTATGTCGAACTAGTTTTGAAATCAGAAGCCAGTAAATTGTTTGTTCAACTATGTTTCCGTTTATTTTAAAGGGGGTATTGGTCACCAAGAAATATTGCAGTATCTCATATGTTAGTGTTGTGAAGGTAATTTGCAAGAAACATTAAGTCAAAGGACATGATTTGCCTTCGCATGGTACATAAAATGATATCGTGGGCCTCATCTGGCCCTGGGGCCTCATCTGGCCCTGGGGCCTCGAGTTTGAAACCAGTGATGTAGGTGGAACTCTGCTGTCTGCTGCCCCCTATAGGCATAAGCATTTGCTTTTCAAGTGGGAGGAAATAGCAAGCTCGAAGTATGCTTTTGTGCTTTTAACGTCACGGCGTCGTCTGCTGGCAGCTTTCAACAACGCGTCTGTTCGTGAACATGACGTCATAGAAATGACGTTTGACACGAGTCGCACAAGAGGCTGAAAATAGTTTGGGAAGAACGCAACCGGAACTTCCCTCTCCACCAATGGCGTGGAAATCAGAAGCCAGTAAATTGTTTGTTCAACTATGTTTCCGTTTATTTTAAAGGGGGTATTGGTCACCAAGAAATATTGCAGTATCTCATATGTTAGTGTTGTGAAGGTAATTTGCAAGAAACATTAAGTCAAAGGACATGATTTGCCTTCGCATGGTACATAAAATGATATCGTGGGCCTCATCTGGCCCTGGGGCCTCATCTGGCCCTGGGGCCTCGAGTTTGAAACCAGTGATGTAGGTGGAACTCTGCTGTCTGCTGCCCCCTATAGGCATAAGCATTTGCTTTTCAAGTGGGAGGAAATAGCAAGCTCGAAGTATGCTTTTGTGCTTTTAACGTCACGGCGTCGTCTGCTGGCAGCTTTCAACAACGCGTCTGTTCGTGAACATGACGTCATAGAAATGACGTTTGACACGAGTCGCACAAGAGGCTGAAAATAGTTTGGGAAGAACGCAACCGGAACTTCCCTCTCCACCAATGGCGTGTGAGAGCTACAGCGAAGGGCGTGACTGACAAGGTAAACGGCCCAATGGCAAGGCTGTAATTGCGCTAACGCATTCGAGCGGCAGGCGACTCGGCCAATCGCGAGCCTCTTCCCGAGCGCAGCCCCGGCGAGCGTGAAGGCGGCGCGCGCTAGGCACAGAGGAGGAGATGGGCAGAAGCTGAACATGGCGGATGGTGACAGCGGGAGTGAGCGCGGCGGTAGCGGCGGTGGCGGGGGCTTTCAGCACTTTCAGCGGGACCAGGAGACCCAGGAGCTGGCCTCCAAGCGCCTCGACATCCAGAACAAGCGCTTCTACCTGGACGTCAAGCAGAACAGTAAGGGCCGCTTCATCAAGATCGCCGAGGTCGGGCCCGGAGGCTCCAAAAGTCGGCTGACCCTCTCGCTGTCAGTGGCCGCTGAGGTGCGCGATTACCTCGGGGACTTCATCGAGCACTATGCCCAGCTAGGCCCTAGCAGCCCCGAGCAGATCGCACAGGCTACCGCTGGCGAGGACGGTGGGCCTCGGCGAGCCCTCAAGAGCGAGTTTCTGGTGCGGGAAAACCGCAAGTACTACTTGGACTTGAAAGAGAACCAGCGGGGGAGGTTTCTGCGGATCCGGCAGACCGTCAACCGGGGGCCCGGCTTCGGCATGGGCGGCCCGGTGGGCGGCATGCTGGCCGGCCAGACCATAGCCCTTCCGGCGCAGGGCCTGATCGAGTTCCGAGACGCCCTGGCCAAGCTCATCGACGACTACGGCGGCGAAGACGACGAGCTGGCCTGCGGCGGCGCAGGCGGTATGGCGGCGGGGGGCTTCGGCGATCTCCCCGAGGGCACCTCCATCATGGTGGACTCCAAGCGCTTCTTCTTCGACGTGGGCTCTAACAAGTACGGGGTGTTTCTGCGCGTCAGCGAAGTCAAGCCCAGCTACCGGAACTCCATCACGGTACCCTTCAAGGCCTGGGCCAAGTTCGGCGGCGCCTTCAGCCGCTACGCTGACGAGATGAAGGAGATCCAGGAGCGCCACCGGGACAAGATGTACGAGAGGCGGGACGAGTCGGAGGGCGACGACGTGGATGACGACTGAGCGCGCGCACGCACGCCGCCTCCGCCGTACGTGCGCCCCAGCGCGCGCACGTACACCCACAGCATTGGAGAAAAAAAAGAAGAAAGAGTGAACGAGCGTCCATCAGCCTCGTGGTGCGGTGTCACTTAGCACCCAAGTTGGACTCGGTAGTGTTCGAATCGTGACCTAAGTGCGTGTCGTGGAGGCTGAAAGGCTCCCGGTGTCCTCCTCGTTGTCGTTCACGTTGTGGGATGTTTTGTAGGTTGGCCTCGGAGGAGCAGCTGCCAATCAAAGTCTCACACACACACACACACAAATACACAAATGCAAACGCGCGCTCGCACACACGCACAAAGGATTACTGTCCGCCACATGTTTGACGAGGGGGATGAAGTCAGCCGCAATTACAGCCAGGGCACATTCTTAGCAATACCGGCAGAGGAGTGCAGCGTTTGGGGCTCCCCAGCAGAACCAGCAGAAACGCTTTTGCCATCGACCTCTCTCTCGCCTCACTCGGGACAAAAAAAAAAAACAAACAAACAAAAAAAAAAAAACGAACATCAGCAAGAGACGCTGCTGGACACCAACTAACACGTCCGTGGATGTTCTTTTTCCTTTTTTTCTTTTCCCAAGAAAAAAAAAAAAAAGAGAACTATATTATTGACACGAGATTATAGGAAAGTTATTACAAACCAGCGACAAAAAAAGATATTTTCAAATACTTATAAAGGAAATTGTATTGTGTAAAGGAAATTTCATGGGTTACGAATAAAGAAAATGTTAATTTCTTCCAACAAAGTTGACTCCCAACTTTTTTTTTTCCCTTCCTGAAAGAGAAGTTATGTTTTGGTCCAAATCCATAAAAAGGTGTGGCGAGAGGAATGGATGTTCCACTTGCTTTGGGGCCAGAGAGCAGCGGCTGCAGCAGCACATGGCACTGTCAGGAAAACACACTGCACAGACCCGCTAACGAATAACAACAGCATTGCGGCAATAAGAGATTTGAACACAAAAGGTGCAGCAACACATGTATACAGAGACGGTATAAGCACTCATTTGTCTGCTTGACTGCGCTATAGTGCACCACGAAGAGCCGCAACAGATTAATCCTCAGACGCAAGCTTGAGTTAATTTAATTCTTTACATTCTATTTTATAACCAAATTACAATATTTTTGTTTTTTTCAGACCAAAGCAATCCCTCATGTAAAATGGTGCCTTCTGGTGGCCTCTTAGTACGAAGTGTGACTATGTTGATCTGAGTGGAGGAGCTTCGTTTCGTCAGGCCTTGCCTCGGTGAAAAAAAGTGCTTTGGCGCCATCTTGGCTTTTGATTGGAAATTACAAACTTCTCTGGGTGGGCGTCAATTACGCAACTTCCAAAGACCAAACGAAATAGCGAGCAGATGGAACAACAATGTTTTCCCGCAAATACAACAACTACTCGGACTATAACTACTACTGCAACTTCCACTGCTACTAGTATGTCTTGTACTTCACTTGCAATGACTTTCTAGATAATTGCAAGAAGATACAACTATTAACTGCGACTAGTACTACAATTCCTTAAACTGCTACTTTTACAATTAAAACTAATAGAACTTCTTTTACTAAAAGTACTACAATGTACTACACTTGCAACTCCAATTATGGACAATTGCAACAACAGTAGTACAACAACTACTGCTACCACCTGCTACTCGTATTAGAATCTCTACACCTACTACAAACTCTAGAAGTGCTACTCCGATTTCTACTTTTGCTCCCATTAAAAACTCCATGACAACTTTTACCCCGAAAACAATTCCCGTGTCTACTACTCCACTTGCAACTACTTATTTGACACTTGCAACGACAGCACTACCACCATTTTGTCTGCTACTACATATGCACGTACTTTTTCTACAATCTCAACCACAGTACTGTAGCTCCTACTACTAGTATTGAATAATTTAAGAAATTTGGGGGTTAACCCCCCCACCCCCATGGGCGGCGTCCCCGACTTGACGTGTGTGCACGGCAGCTGCAAGTTTCAATGGAGAATGTGAGAAAGCCAGAATATGAGAATGTGGGCGGAGCCTACACTCATACACGCACACATTCCTGCACTGGGAGTCAGCTGGCGCACAAGCATACAATTGTGCCAACCCACGCCACATTCTCATTAGACAAGTATGTACACGCCCCCCATGACCCTCCCCCTTACGACTACCACTCACGCTTCTTACTAAGTACATTCAATGTCAAATTTGTCACGTACAGGGCCTACAACGCAATACAATCGAATATACACATGTGCATATTACTGCTTAAACTGCATCAACAATCAACGTATTTAGAAGCAGCAAGAATTGTCAGCAGCGGTATATGTAGCATAAAAAAAAAGTACCACCTAGGGTTAAAAGAATACAGACATACATGGAGACAGTCACAATTTCTCAGTAAGCTGCAGTAAGAGAAGTCATTCATCACAGAGCATAAAGAATATATCCCACTGAGTTTTGTGATATTGTCTGCCTATCTGTGTTGCTGCACCATTTGTCTTCAAGTATCACCTTATGGCACAGATTGCTATTTGCTTTTGTTATATACTCCATTTATTTGTGTCGTCTTGGGTTCTCCAGTTTTGTACAATTTTCCTTTAGGTTATTCATTAGTTTTGAATGTTTACGCTCTTCTTTGCTGTAAAGCGAAAGTGAAATGAATGTCACAATATCTCATCTAATTCCATTCACTGAAACGAAAGCTGTGAATGTCATCACATTTCATGAATCCTGCACATATTGAATTCTCATCACGACGTTGCGTGCCGGAGGCTCGGCGTCCTCCATGACCCCTGGCCAGTGACCGCTGACTAATGAGCATGCGCACGCAAGCACATGTGCAGTGTGGCACTGGTGCATTGTGGGAGCACAGCACACTAATTCCTCAGCAGGCAGCGAGACAAATCAAGCCTGGCGTGCTCGCGTCCCGGATGCGTTCATCCAGTGCCAGCGAGGCCGTCCGTCAGCCTCAAGATCATCACCAGCATTTAAATGCTCAATTCTAATATTGACAATTTTAGAATGACATTAAAGTCCGTGGCATTCATTTTAGAGCTTCTTGGATGTCGGATATTTTTGTCCAATCGGATGTCAACCTAATCTGCCCGGGGCCTTCACCACCTATCAAAAGTATGTTTGCAAAGGGATTGTTTTCATCAACCGGTCAAATTTCAAGCTCAGCCTCACGAGGCCACAACGCTGCCCCCTGATGATATCATTAAAAAATAATAATAATAATAACACTGTTATTACTACCTCGACTCCTATTTATTACACATGACAATTAAAAATTTTGCTGGAGATTTTAGAAAGGGTCATGGAAGACAACACCATTTGCTTTTGCGCACCACAAAAAAATGATGTTGTGGGGCAGATATGCCCCCCGGCCTTGAGTTTGACACCACTTTCCTACATGAGCTTGTTTGACGATAACCTTCAGTAGTCTCGCAATGGGGAAATTGTAATATTCAATCAGCGCTGACACTTTGTTTGTCATGACATTCCAGCTTGAGGCGTGTGCAAGGCATGTTGATGGCGCGTGCGTAGCGCATCACATGTCATTACAATTGATGAATAATTTCATTGGGTAAAACTGAAACGTGACGAAACAGCCCCCACTGCTAATCTAGTTAATGTTCCATGGGCCGCCACTACTGGTTGCGACAGCCGCTGGTAGATTAGATTGACACGGCAACACATTACAGGCTGATATATGATTGGACAAAAACCAAAACAAAAAAAAATAGCAATTGAGGGAAGAGGAAGCGGCAGAGAGGAAAGAGAGGCGGCGGAGAGGAGAAGAAGAAGAAACGGTGTCAACATGTTGGGAGTTTCAAAGGAATCCTGATACTGCAGGACGAAGAGGTTATTTTTAGATCCTGTTGCCATGTGCCCGCAATGTGACTGGCAGAGGCAACACACACTCACACACAAATACACACGTGCACAAAAGGTCAACGAGTTGCTGGCTGCTCCATAGCCTCATGATGACGTGACAAACGATAACATGACGTGATGAGATGAAATGAAATCCCGACATGCTAACACCACAACACGATGTGACAATTTGATCACATGACAAGATAACTCACGATTATCCAACACAGCGTGACGACACGACAACCTAATATGGCAACTCCAAGTGACGACACAGACTGAAAAAGCAAAGGAGTACATTGTTAACAAGAAAGTAATCTTTTTGTTTGAATGCTACAACATAGAAAACTAAGACAGATGTATTTAGAACAGGATTGACTTTAATTCCTAGGAAAATTGAATACTTGAAAGTATTAAAGCCAACGTCGCTGCTGCGGATAAAACTATAAAAGTGTAACACAAACAGGAAGTGATTCCACAACTTGAAACTCGTCTACAAACTACTCTCTAACTTATGAACACTTGCACTCCTCATTGACATTTTTCTTTTTTTACATTCAGTTTTCATACCAAAAAAAAAAAAAAAATTACAAAATGGAACACGTTATTCAAATAGTAAAACTATTTCAACAAATCTTGAAATCAAACAAGATTTTCTGCTGGAAGATGACGGCATATCAAGTTCTAACAGCAACTGATCAGACACGCGTACGGAATGAGAGAACATGCGTGATACTTTGCTAACTAGCCCGTTGCTAATCACGCTAACGAGAGTCTAACGCTGAGCTTTTCATTGGCTTTAATTTCTCTTCTTCATAAAACTACTAAAACAAAAGCCCTCAAAAAATAATCTTATTAAATTGGCTAATCCACCCTCTCTAACATCGATTGTCCAACCGTAGCTTTGTTTAGCTTATTTTAGTTTAGCACTTAGCCTGTTAAATACCCAAACACGGAGAGTTTAGGGTGTACTGAACCAGTAACGCAAAAAGTCGACTCAAAGGCGTTGTCAGCATGACAAACATTAGCTTAACCACTCATTAGCTTAGCCTTAGTACCTTTTAGTATTGACCTCCAAGGCAAGGGAGCTAAAGTTAGCGTGTCGGCTTATGTTTCAGGGAATGGCCAAGTAAATTCAAAAAACATCCAAGTGACATATTAGCTTCCAGATAGGTAGATGAGCTAAATGAGCTTTGGCTAAAGCTTTTGCATGCATTTGATAACTAGTGTCAGCTGGTAAAAAAAAAAAAAAAATCATAAAATAAAATTACTAAGCGACGTGTGCGCGCTACTTCTCCATCCATGTTGGCATGCTGCTCACACTCACACACATGAAGACAAGAGGACAAGATTCAAGGTGCTAGTTTGGGGTTCCAGTTAAGGATGAGTGAAAACGTCACAAAACAAAGATAACTAAACCATCAATTAATCAACAAAAACAACTAAAGAGACGCCACCTAGCTACCGTGGCTAACTTGAGCACAAAACCAAAACGTGGAATGGGATTGTTTTTAAAGTGTCGATCAAGATTGAATCTTTTTTTTCTGTGAGACATTAGGCAAAGAAAATTCTTGTGAAGTAAAACTTTCCGCAGTGAGCACCACCAAAGCCTCAACACCCTCTTGGCGTAACCACGGAAACCAGCCCGAGCGGTCACGTGACCATGCAGCCTAAGGAGAACATGCGTCGCTGTCTGAACGGACGGATGCTCGCACACGCACAATTTGGCACGCAAATAGCAAAAGTGACCAATGGCAATGGTGAACTTGGAAGAAAGGCACCGCCCCAA